TATATATATATATATGGGATATTTCTGTTTTACAAGCCATTTTTTCTATGCTTTGCACCATAATAGAGAACCAATTATTAAAACCATTATCTTAAGATTGTATCCAGACCTTGTAATATTCATATACACATTACTGTAAAGATGTAATAAACCATCAGCATAAAGGGAATCTATACTGAAAGAAATATGGGGTTGGATTGCTGACTTCCCTCTAAGAACAGATGTTTCTTGGCTGTCTTTTGCTTTTTTTCTGAGTCACTAACCCAGTAAAAAAGCAAGCAGATTAAAGGGTAGAGTGAAGTCAGAATTCCTAAAAGGCATGCTTGTTCCTGATCTGTGTTTCAGAAAGTATTTAAACCAAATGATCAGCATTGAACCAAAAAAAAGTGAGCAATGACAGACTCGATATCATCTCAGCAAAATCGTTAATTTAAGGATGGGTATCAAGGTTGCCATGAACACTTACTTTTTTTTTTTAACTGCCTAAATAGTTTTTCTGTGGGAAAAGAGCGGTCGACTCTTCAGATTAATGCAAAGTAAAGAAGTAATTTATCACAGCATTAATTATGAATACCAAGTCTTTTTTTAAATAAAAAAATTATGTCACCTGCTTAATGGGGACTTCACAGATATGAAGCTACTATCACAGTTTATCCCACTCTTTTAAAGGTTTATTCAAGCAGGAGGTGGATAGCCTTCAGCTTTAAGGAAAAGTGAGTTCTTTTTTACTGGGATTTACTCTAGCTGCCTCAAAATCTTTCAGTGATTCATAAAACTGATGTAGTTTGGACAGTTCATTCGGTGTACATAAACTAGTTTACTTGGTATTTTAAGGAACTGCCAACAACATCACACAGAATACAGTCTCACATTGCCAGATGATTGCATTTCACGAGAAATGCAAAGGGTTTGAAAAAGGTGTCTGTTCCTAGTCTATTAGGAGAAATTACCCAGTATTTGTTTTTACTGTGTATATTTACTGCAGTGTTATGAAATCATCGCTTCCTTACTCCTTCAAAATACCCTCTACCAGCTGCACAAAAAGTCACAAATAGTAATTTCCACAGATATACACACAAAAACACATGCAAAAGTAGCTATAACCACAGGACCTCCTGATGGAAAGTGTCTTAAAAGAGAGATTATCCTCAATGGCTATAGCAATAAGCGATGTTCTGCAAGCCTGTACAACCAAATAGTTAATTGTTTAACTTTGTTGCAAAATACAGGAAAATAAAAATTCAATTGTTGCTGTTAACAAGAATAGTTCTACCTTCACATACTTTCAGTCATGAGGCTAGGCAGTCCTAAATGCCCCAGAGTAGTGAAAAGTCTCCTGTCAAGGTTTTACATTCTTTGCAAATACATTGTAATAAAATTAAATCAGTCAACTGTATTTTATTTAAAGGGAAACTCCACTTTAAAAAATTGTGAAAAATATATAAATACCATACATAATTGCTTTTCAAGCCTCTTTGTAACCTAAAGCTATTAAAAATGACCTTTCCATTGAAAGCTGCAACCGCTGTAATTTTCTAAAACTGTCAAAAAATTCAATGTAATATGGCGACCTGGAGGCATTCTGTACACAGTTTGCTTCTGTGATTGACTGATTTTGACAGACATATGCACTATACAAGAAACAAGTATAATTTTGGACATCTCTGCCAAAGGAATTTTATTTTGGGTAAGATACTCCCTAATTGTTAATTACTTCTCAAGGGAAGCAGACACTGCAACTTTCCTCATTACCACACAGAAAGTCCACTAGCTGATTATATGAACACTGGCCCTCCCATTCAGGGATCAGTTTAAAAATGGCATGCTGCAACAAACAGCTATTTCTTCAGAACAGAAAACGGTAGGAAACTGCAACAAAGTGTGTTTAAATCCTTGCAATGTACACTGATCACACAGGGAGGATTGATTTTTTTATCAACACTAAATACACTTCTATAGTAAATGCAATGGTATATTTCAGTAACAATGTTCTTCTCTAATATGATTATAAAAGCAAGGAAAAAAAATACAGTATCTTACAGGTGCCAATCAGAAATACCCATTCACTAGAATGATTTCACAACACTGAAGACTGAAGTCTGCCTGGTTAGCATAGGTGGTCGATATTGTTCTTACTTTTTAGGGAAATCTAGAACAAGTAATTGTGTAATTAATGTACAACATTATGGAGGTATAATATGTCTGCTGCCTTGATATTGTGCCCTTAATCACTTTTAATACCATATAATTAACTGTTAAATGAACCATATCTGACCTGTACATAAAAAGAGCAGGGAAGACATTATTTAAATCTATTGCATTGTCAGGAAATTGGCTTTTTGTTTCATGTTCTGTAGTTATCATGCTGAGAATGTTAGCACAGTATTATACATCCATTTTAGGTGCATTTCTGTTAGTAATGTTATTCTTTGTTTCAGCACCTACTAGATAAATGGAAGGGTAACCCTTAAAGTTTGGCTCTCCTTTAATAACTAAAAAGAGGAAAGCAGTTATGAAGATAAATGTGATATAACCCTTGACATTGTAACATCCTTATCCACACATAAAGCATACAGTATGTTTCTGTAACATTCAATTAACGCATAAGATAGAATACATACGTGGGGAGTCTGAAGTTATAATTTTTTTTTCTTCTGTCATCACGCGGCCTCCTGTTTGAACTTAACAAGAAATATAGGCATGTAAGTAACACATTCTGTTACAATTATGAAGTTACTTATCCTGAATATTTTATGACCGCTATTTTTTATCACAAGCCCCACAAGCCTGAATAGTAAAAAAAAAAAAAAATACTGATCTGGAATTATGTTTTTATCATTTCTATAACTACAGATGTTGTACCAATGGGGTGCCCAGGTTTAATGGAACCCCCATCCTTCCAGGAGGACCATAATCTGTAAATCTCTGACTACAGTGCCACATGCTGCCCTGGGATAATGGCAGTCAAGTCAAATATAGAAATAGTCTAAGAAATTCTATTAGACAGACTTCATCATCCCAAATGTGATAGAAGTTTCCAAATGTTGCACATAAGAGGGTTGGGCAGTGACAGATATGGAATATCCATTAAGCTGCATGTTTTCCATTATAAACTATTTAAGAACACTTACATGTACTGGTGTATATTATCATGCTGCTTAACAGTAAGGGCGCTATAAATAAATAAATAAAAGATGAGTGCATATCCAGCAGGATATATTTTTGAATTCTCCTGATTCTGAGATTGATCTGAATTGTTGTCAATTGCATTAGTCACTATGAAAATGTGCTTGTGCATATGAACACATCAATGGGCTTTGGGCTTGTGTCGATGGCATCAGTTTGATATCAGATTCAGGCACTTCTGTAATCATGCAAAATTGAATAACAGGTGCATCTGACCTGCAGTTGATCTCCTTTTGACTCGTATGGGAGTACAGAAGTGAACAAAAGCTCATTGACACAGGCCCCAAGAGAGATACAATGGATAATCCAGATTTGACAGATCACTTCTCCAAAACCAAGTGATTACCCTTCAAGTTAAAAGCAAAAACTGCATTATGTAATTCCTGTACGTCATATGTTAAGATTCTTTTAGCAAAAGTCTTGTAACAAATGTGTTATTTGAATTGTAGCAATATATTTACTAGGCAAAAAGTACAGGATCACTATAGAAGTGCGGAACCTTTTGTGATAGAGAGCCTAACCATTTATCAATGGACTTGATAGTAAATAGATATTAGGGATTTGTTTGACCAGTTGTGGCTCAGATAAACTTTTGAAAAAAAATCACCAACCTTATTTTTAAACTTTTGGACAGAGTGGGGGGAGGTTTAGAACATCTGTTGGTTTTTTTTGCTGTCTAAGACCCAGTTGGAGCGATTTCCTCCTAATTTCTGTCCGGGTGACAATTTTTTATACTGAAAATTATATGGGGGGAAAAGACAGTGGGGGCACTTTTATCTACTAGAAAAGAGTGTTTTTATTGATGTGTTGCTGTTGGGGATTTTGCCGTACATTACTCCTGTCTGAGGCTCTGTTGGGTGGATACCAGGACAAGAAAGGAGAGAAAATATCCACAATGTGGCCACAGAGAACAGAAAAACATATAAATATTCTAATCCTTCCTCCCACTATCCAAGGCTAGAACAATGGGGCTGGAGATACACTTTAAAGATCAACTCTAGGCAAAGGGAAGACAGTAACTAAACTACTAATACTATCCAGCAATCACTGTAATTTTTTTATTTTGATTGAAGTGTAACTTTAATACCCACAAAAGAATCAATTATAGTTTTACAATATGTCATATTGACAATTATAGGGCAAGTGTATTTAAGAAAACTGGTTAGCACGTCTGCCTTGAAGGGGTCCCTGGTTCGAATCCCAGTCAGCAAGGAGTTTGCATGTTCTCCCTGTGCTTGTGTGGGTTTCCTCCGGGGGCTCCAGTTTCATCCCACACTCCAAAGACATGCTGGAAGGTTAATTGGCTCCTGTCTAAATTGGCCCGCCTATGTATGCATGTAAGATAGGGACCTTAGATTGTAAGCTTCTTGAGGGCAGGGACTGATGTGAATGTGCAACTATGTAAAGCACTGCATAAAATTGTCAGCACTATATTAATACTTATAATAATAAATAAAAAAGTAATAAAATTGGTAAAAAAAGAATGTAATTGGTG